TGCAGTTCCGAGCTGATTCCTCGCTTTTGTCATGATCATCCTTACCCCATGAGGCGAAATCTTGCATGGTGCCACAGACCGGGAGCGATTGATGGTTATTTTGTATTCCTTCTATTTGCAAATAATCGCTCCAACAGTTGTTTCCTTCTCACCAAGCTTCTTGCTGATAGTCTTGTAGCCCATTCCAGCCTTGTGCAGGTCTACAATCTTGTCCCTAATGTCCTTTGACAGCTCTTTGGTATTGCCCATGGTAGTGAGGTTTGAATGGAAGAAAGAGATTCAATGGACAGGTGTCTTCTATATACCGTGTTTTCCCGAAAGTAAGACCTACCCCGAAAGTAAGACCTAGCGATATGTTCGGGGATTTCTGTAATATAAAACCTACCGGTGGTAGGTCTTATATTGCAGAAATCCGCTAGGTCTTACTTTCGGGGTAGCTGCACATAAACTGAATTTTAAGTGTAAAGACCGGCCGCAGCTCCCGCCCCGCCCACACCCCAGCCGGCCGCAGCTTCCGCCCCGCCCACACGCCAGACGCAGCTTCCGCCTACACGCCCGACGGCCGCAGCTCCCGCCCGCACGCACGATGGAAGCAGAATATAATCCGCCGGGACCGGCAACAGCACGCCGCCAACTTATTTTACTCACTAAACTGTAACTCAATTTATAACATTTCTATCATGTGTTTTTTTCCTGGATTTTTGGTTGATATTCTGTCTCTATCATTTAAAATGCACCTATGATAAAAATTATAGACCTTTCATTTCTTTGTAAGTGGGCAAACTTACAAAAGCTGCAGGGGATCAAATATATATTTTCCTCACTGTATGCTGTGAATGGCCAGTGAAATTTGTATTCTCTCACTATCAGACCTGTTCAACACACCTATTTTTACAAATTGTATTTTTTTCTTTTTAAAATACTGCAAGAATCAAATAATCTATATACGGAAACACTATACAGTCCTTGTTAAGAGTTAGCCGACAGCCAAGGTAGGCACAGCATGAATGCCAAATTCAGTTTGCTGCATTCGTAGAACAGACAAGGTGGATGTACGGGGGTTCCAGCTGTTGTTTTAAAGCAACCATGCTTAACAGACATGTTATTGTTTTGTTCTTCACTTGTCACCAGGTAATTGGCGAAAAGCTTGACATGGATGTGAACGCCACATGGAAAAAGCGATGCAGGAGACCCAGAAAATAATGCAGTCAGGATTCTTGTCATGTGATTTCTTATAACAGTTTAAAAGTTATATGTATTCTTTTCAATATATTTTTAGGTAAACATGTAAAAGAGATCTACTTGATGCATAGTAACAAGCACCAAATATCTTAGCTATTTGTGTTAACCGTTAAAAAAAAACCTGTATAATTTGTAATTGTAATTATATATGAAAATGGGAGCAGCCATATTTGATCATTACATATACAGGCTCAGCCCACTTTTAGTTCCACAATGCCACCTACATTAACATTTTTCAGGAAAGGGAACCGTGCTGACGAATGTTAACCTATAGATTGCAGGTGTCATGGTGTTAAGTGTATCTAAAGCCAATTAAAAATAAATATATGGAACTTAGCAGTACCTAGATGGGGTAGCTGCATTAGTTTTCCCTTTATTTTCACCTGGTGATCCTGCTACTAACACATTTCCTGTACTAGGATCACAACGCTCACTCAATATATTTTAGCTATGGAGGAGCAGTAATGTCACCCTAGGAAAGGAAGTGTTTTAGGACTACAGGACACCTCCCACTATTCTCATCTCCATGCATGGGGGTGTTCTGTAGCTCACAGAGGTAAACTGGGAAGGGCTAATAACACTGCTTGAGATAATGCTACTACTGCACAGGACACCATTGAATTTCTGGCAGGATCACCAGATCAACTCAAACATATGTAACAAAACATTTGAGGAAAGCTAACACAAAATGTAAGTTTCTGTGTTCATATACAGCAGCTGCATTTGCCTGCTTCATGTACACTCATTGTTCATTGCTGGCATATGTTTTTTTGCAAATCCCTCCGCAAAGGTGGAAATGGGCTTTAAGCAATGTGTTCGACAATGGATAATTATCTTTTAAGATTGTAAGCTCTCATGGGTAGGGCACTTCTTACAATCTTGGTTTGTATTGTTGCTGTACTGTCTTTCTTATACTGTAAAGTGTGCTATATCAATACAGTATAATAATAATAATAATAATAATAAAAATATCTTGCTGTCTTTCATTCTCAGGAAGATTCCCAGGCAGTAACAACTAATCACTTCACCACTTTCAAACACTATTTACATTATTATACAATTCCTGCCCAGAAAGGGGGGGGATGTTACCAAACACATTTACTGGAAAGTTCTGACAAAGATAAACTATTTTGTGGTGCTGCACTCTATTTCCCAAGCATCAGCAAGATTTACAAATAAGGGCCCGTCATCAGTTCTTTTATCCTTGTCCAACAGCTCTGTCAGAAAACCATGACAATCTCTCTGCTTTTCATATGAAATAAATGGAATACAAGCAATATAAAAGTAAACACTAAAGAAAGCTCTTTTTTTTGTCTTTGTGCAAAGGAGTGCTCCATCAAGGATAGGTACACAAAAACAACTAAGTACCACAATGAATGCACTGAGAATTTATAGTTGAACTCCATGCACATATACTGTACAAACAGCAGCAAATGCAGTTCTATATATTTAGCAAATAATGATTACATATACACTGCCTGACCAAAAAAAAGTCACACACTCTAATGTTTTTTGGACCGCCTTTAGCTCCGATTATGGCACACATTCCATGTGGCATCATTTTGATAACGTTATGTAATGTCACAACATTTATTTCCTTCCAGAGTTGCATTTATTTTTCACCAAGATCTGGTAGTGATGATGGGAGAGTCAGGCCACTAGGTAAAGTCTTCTCCAGCACATCATAAAGACTGTCAGTGGGGTTAAGGTCTGGACTTTGTGGTGCCCAATCCATGTGTGAAAATGGTGTCTCATGCTCCCTGAACCACTCTTTCACAATTTGAGCCCCGATGAATCCTGGAATTGACATAGTGGAATATGTTCATCCCATAAGGGAAGAAAAGATCCATTGAAGGGAAAACCCGCTCATTCAGTATATTTAGGTAGGCAGCTGACCTAATTTTTTGAGGACAATTTTCTTGCTGAACCTAGACCTGACCAAGTAAAGCAACCCCAGTACATACCACTGCCTGAAATCCAGGTGGTGACGTTTTTTTTGGCCAAGCAGTGTCTTTTAATATGCAACTAATGGAAGTACCTGGATTTGAATTATTATCAGCATATTTTAATACATTTTAGTACCCAAAATGGAAAAGAAGGTGGCCAGCACTAGGACCCAATCCTGTGATCTGCATGCAAACAAACATGCTAAGAGCAGGGAGATTACCTCATCAGTTTCTCCAATCACAGGCTGGGGACAGAGAAGTGACCAAGCTGCATTGCTTAAAGCCCAGCTGAGCTTTCATTATAAACTAGCTACACGCATTCTAGGTGCAGCAAAACAAAAGGTGTGTAAAGCCTTACAGTTTGTTTTACTTAAAAATTAGTCACAGCTTAAATATAGAAGCCAGTCTCCAGCTGCTCTATTATAGGTACCCTTACTTTCTGTATGAAGCAGTGGTCTCTTTGCCGAGGTCAGACACATCCCCTGCTAAGTCAGAGCCAGAGATCTCTAAATCAGCAGGGAGCATGAGCTTTACTGAATGCAGATCAACAGGTCTGACTGGGAGGAGTGTGTGTCTGACCTCTGCAGAGATTGCTGCAATCACACAGGGTCCCACTCTGCAGCTTCAGACAGAGGACATGCTTTCATACTGTGGCTTTTTTATGAGAAAATGAAGGCTCACCGTACATGTTACAACCTGACACTACGATCTCTGTACAATCAAAAACTATGTAATATGAGGACCGACCTAAACTATCCAATTAATTTGTATCCAATCATGCAGACCATTGCATTACATACTTGGTCAATTTTAAAGGGGCTGTACAATCAGATGTAGCATCTGACAAGATAACAAGTGCATCTGATAACAAATGTATAGGAAGTGTGGATGCCGAGGGACATACTATCACTGGAGCAGAGGAGGCGACAGGCTTCAGGGACTGGACTATCAGCAAGCCGGCCCTGCTGTCCAGGTAAGTATAACAAAAACGAGCACTTAACCCTTGCAGTGCGGGGGTAGCCTCACTGCAAGGGTGAAGAACATTTTTGCCAGGAGAGTGCTTTAAATAGCAAGTAATAATTTACAGACATTATATACTATTAGAGAATTCTAGTGTCCACAAATTGTTTATGGTAATGGCAGAGTTGCTTAGATCTTTAATGCAATATATTCATTTTGTTTCCCTGGTAAAATGTAGTTTGTGACCAGCGCTCTAGGAGACTGGCTTTATTTATCTATTACAGACATTTATTTGGAGCTGACAATTAACGCAATGCTTTACACACAGCACATTCACATCGGCCCCTGACCTTGAGGTGCTTACAATCTAAGGCCTCTATCTCATATACACACACATATTAGGGTCGATTTAGACTGAAGCCAATTAACCTTTCAGCATGTCTCTGGACGAATTAGAATGGTGGAAAGTGGCGCCCATTATCCCAATGGAGATGTGTCAATAGGACAGGGTAAATGCAGCAGGCTTGCTCTGTATGAGACTGTGTTGGTGGCAAACATCACAGTGGAAGGGGCTTGGAGAACAGTGAAATAATAGCTGGTCATTCCACCACAGTGTTACTAAGGTTAATTTTGACTCAGGGGCAATGGAGATGATATTGATGTTTAGCAGGTTGTGTTATATAGAAGTGTAGGTGGACTGTGGATGGTCCGCGGTGAGGCCCTGGAACTGAAGTGATTAGATCACATCTAATATTTGCATTTACCAATAAATATTAGTGAACATAAACCAGCTAATATAAATCACAGAATGTTTGGCCCTTTTTGTAGCACTGCTCTTGTGCAAGGTCTTACCAGCTTTGGTAGATTCCTCTTGGAGAAGACACGGTGAGGACAACTCAGGTGGAGATGGCCTGAACACCAGCTCCTCATATTGAGCCATTCAACAGTACGAGAGGGTGGCGGGCCATCTTCCTTATGGAGGATGATCAGTTGTTTCTGGGCCCGCACAGCAGTGTTTTCAAGCATCTTCTCCAGCTGAAACAGAACAGAAATATTTATGAAACATGATGAATCCACAATTTCCGTAGGACAGCAGATCACCGATTCGTTCATGCCATTCAGATCTATTTATACAATTCATATAAAAGCAACAAAACACAGCAACTAAAGTTTATCTATAGCCAAAAAATGTTTTCCGATAGCGTGGGGAAAAGTTAGAAACTTTGTCTTGTTTTTATTGCTGTCTTTATCCCCACTGTTCAGCTGGCCAAAGTTACCAGGACAAAAGCCAATGGTTGTTACAGTAGGTAGAGGGAAATCTTCTATTGATGTCCCCTGGTCCTGTGAAATCTGTCTAAAGCTGGCCATACACCACAAAAAAATCTTGAACCTCTGACTGCGGTGGTCTTAAATTCGCTGTGATAGCCTCTTTAACAGAAGCCTGTCATGGGAAAAATACAGACATTACCATACTTTCTGAAAATCTTAGATACCTGGCAATCTTGCTGATCCTTCAACATTCCAATGACCAAGAACAAGCATGCAGCTAATTAAACCAGAACTCCTGGTCTGTCTGCTCTTTTAAGTTCCATATCTCAAACAAATATTGAAGTCAAAGAATCGGCAAGAAAGCTAGGCAATGGCATTCAGAAACTTGTCAAGATTGCCAGCCTAAGCATTTCTTTCAGAGTAATGACAGGTTTCCTTTAATTCAAAGATGTTTTTAACGTATCTGGTGGCTAGGTGCCCTGATAAAAACCTGTGTAACATTTGTCATTCGTAAACTCGCTAGACTGGTAGACAGCATAGATGGATTTAAAAACCCTGAGCTGCCTACTGATAGTCTCTGCATGTCTGGGCAAGAAGTCTATTAAAAAGGAAATCAAACCAATATTTGAGACAAAGAATTCCAAGGCCATCAATATCAGAGCATGGTACAGGTTATCAAGAGCGCTGTGGCTTGGCTCTGCCACCACGTCTTCTCAATGACAGTCAGGTCTCCTTATTTTGCTGCTTTGTGTAATTATCTATAAATATGAAGACTTGCTATGCGGAGCTGCACAGGAGGGAAACTGTAATTACAAACTAAACTAAGTACAAATAGGATTTATTTTCTGGAAATGAATACAGATCTGCAGCTGGGGTCGGTACATGTTCAAGCACAAGAGATGAAATGAGGTGCTACATTACAAGAAAATCAGCTTAATACTTTATTGTAAAACAGGGATTATTATAATACAACACCCTCTATATGAATTGCCTGTGGCGCTACCTATTAAATGATATCTGTATCAACAGCCTGTTCTGAACATGTTGTTTATACACTCTAAGCTCAGTATTCACTTTCAAAATTCCAAACATTGTTTATCAAATCTTCTACTTTCAAATGATCTTTTGTCTTACAGTGGGTAAGGTTTTATTACGTGGGCTTGGCGTTTTGTAACACACAGTTAGCCTAACATTTCCCCTAGGATTCACGTATTCATGCCAGGCGGCTGACGCATTAATATTAGAGAAATTAAAATAAGAACAAAATCTGAAGTCATTGCTAACAGCAAGAAACCACCTAGACTAATCCTGATTGGTTGTCCATTTTGTGACAAGTTGGAATGCTGTGTCAAATCTTAATAAAAACAGAATGCAATGATTTGCAAATCTCATAAACCCATATTTTATTCCTAATAGTAAACATATAAAATGTTTAAACTGTTTAAAATTTTACCATTGTAAGAACAAAATAAAGGAAATTATTAAATTGATGGCAGCAACACATCTCAAAAAAGATGGGGAAGGGCCATGTTTACCAGGGTGTAGCATCCCCTCTTCTTTTAACAACACTCTGTAAACGTCTGGGAACTGAGGAGACCAGTTGCTGGATTTTTAGGAGAGGAATGTTGTCCCATTATTGCCTGATATAGGATTCTACCTGCTCAGCAGTCCTGGGTCTTCTTTGTCATATTTTTTGTTTCAAGATGTGCCAAATATTTAAATATTTTCAATTGGTGAAAGGTCTGGACTGCAGGCAGGCCAGTTGTCATAGATGCAGTATGCGCTTTAGCATTGTCCTGCTGAAATATGGAAGCCTTCCCTGAAAAAGACATTGTTTAGATGGTAGCATATGCTGCTCTAAAACCTGGATATATCTTTCAGCATTGATGGTGCCTTTCCAGATGTGCAAAAGCTGCCCATTCCATACACACTAATGCACCCCATACCGTCAGAGATGCAGACTTTTGAACTCTGCACTGATAACAAGCCAGATGGTCCCTCTACTCTTTAGACTGGTTGCCCATGGTTGCCAAAAAGAATGTGAAATGTCAATTCATCTGACCACTGAACAGTTTTCCAATTTTCTACAGACCATTTTTAATGAGCGTTGGCCAAAGATGACAGCGGCGTTTCTGGATCATGTTCAGATATGGCTTCTTCTTTGCATGGTAGAGCTTTAACTTGCATTTTTGGATGGCAAGGGTGAAATGTGTTCACAGACAGTGATTTGTGAAAGTATTCCTGAGCCCATGCAGTGGTGCCAATCACAGAAACATGCCTGATTTTAATGCAGTGCCGTCCGAGGGCCCAAAGATCATGGGCATCCAATATAGCGTTTCGGCCTTGTCTTTTGCGCACAAAGATTTCTTCCAGCTATTCCTTGTAAATGGCAGCTTTTTGTTATCCTGTCCCAACTTTTTTGAGACGTGTTGCAGCCATCAATTTCAAAATGACCAAAATGGTACATTTTCTCAGTTGAAACATTTGATATCAAGTGAAGCAGATGCTATTCTTGTTGCTCTATGTAATGTTTTGCAGTTACAGTACAAATTGCAGAAACATTTTATATAAATGTTGAAATATTTATACAGGTATGGGCTTGCTGTTATGGTTTTTGTCATGTTCACTTTAACAGTTAATGGACCTTTATTTCTTCTAAAAGTATCTTTCATCTGGACATCTTTTATCAAATGTCAAGACTACAACTGTCCACTGGCTGGAAATGAACGTTGCTTAATTTGGCCGTTTTCTTCCAGTTCAAGTGACTATTTTCTATCTATCGCAACAGACAACTTTTGGCACCACCAGGAGGTGAGAAGCCCTTTGCCGAGCACAAGTGTTCCTTCACAGAATAATCCAGTGCTGGAGACATCTTTTCCCTCAATGACAACATAAACATTGAAAATTCTTATAACTCAAATGTTCATGTTTACACATAAGACAGTGATTTGATAGTCATATGGCGCCTGGCATGTTTTAGTAATTGAAATATATGGCTTCCTTACTATCGGTTGCAATTTTCTCACTGACACTAATGAATTACAGACCTCACTAAATTTCACAGCTGAAATTAGAGGGCCACACACCTGTTGTTGGCTGTAGAAATAATGACATTTAATAAGTTGGACACACACATTGCAATGTGATCGTGCAACATCTAGACTTACCAACAGCTATGTAGTGCAAGTGCCTACCTATATATTCCATTATAAATTATTAATGTATACTGGACAGGGAAGGTTATTGCAATATAAAGTTATTGGATGATCTAGGAGATTGCACAGTCAGGCTGCAGAATTTGTGGCCAGTACTGACACATTGATACATCAGTACCAGCCAATAAATTATAACTTCAATTACAGGGCAGCATACTGCATAGAGTCCATTCAATTGGGCACTTACCTCTCCAACAGTGGGTTCCTGCTCTCCCAGCCCAACAATGAGGATGCAGTCCGCCTGGCGTATGCAACGCTGGGTCCATGGTGTAAGGCAGTAGTCGGACTGATACAGGACAATCCGGTGAATGTCCTCTTGTTGGCCCAGCCAGCTGGACAGTCTGTACTCATGTACACTGCAACACAATTTAAGCAGCATTTTTAACACAGCGGATACAAACCAAACTACATTCTTAGCCACCAGCCATTGTACCCAGCTCAGTGTACCGTCCCATAGATGAAACCACAGGAGTGCCCATAAATGGTGCAAGAAATAAAAACCCTTCTAGGCTTCAGTTTTCTCAGGGCAGTTGTTCCTCTTTGACAAATATTTTTGGATAGCTCATTCTTTTGGTGGTCTTATCTTCTAACCACCATGTCATGTATATGGTTCTCTTACCATCTGCACATATGGAAAATGTAAAGCTGAATTTCAGTGGGCAGTAACTGTTATGGCTGTGCCTGCCAGTTGCACACCTCTTGATATAATCCAATTGACTGGTATGTAAGTACCATAAAATAAATGAAGAATCATCAGGCATGTGGCCATGTCAGCTCCATCTTCCTCCTTCTTAAAGCTGGCTTATGGGGGGATTGAAATGGAGACAAAATATGTAACATCAATGTGACAAGTTAATCCGAAAGATATACCGCCCTTGACAATGCCCATGCACATTAACTCCATCTGCCCCTATTATTCTCAAAATGACTGTGGCTTTGTGAATGGTGGGTGATGGGTGGAGTTGGATCTAGTGTATGGGCAATGTCATGGGCAATGCATCTTCCTGACTGATGTCCATGATGCAGCGTGCACTGTAGTAATAACAACACCCCCAGAGGACCAGAAGTGTTTCTTTGACAATGGTGGCACTGCTGATGGTCTTCACTGATGTTTGGGTGTTATGCAGAACTGAAGTTCACCAGCTGTAATGCATCAGGGAGGGGAAACAGGAATGTTCAAGAGGGCTGGATTTCTACAATAGACTCAAGACATAGAACTGGAATGGGCATAACCAGGTGAAGCTGGAGTTCAGCTTTAAGTTTGCTGACCCTAAAAGTTGGTGCCAGGAGCAGAAAGCCACAGTGCCCAAAGGATAGGGTTGAAATGGAAATGTTTTTTCCCACCCACAGGATACCACCATCTGTCATAAGAACCTTCAGAATGCTGTTAATGTAGGCAAGAAGGAGAAATATGAAGAAAGAATGATTACAGGCAGCCTGATGCCTGATCGATACAAATATATAGACTGATTCTTGTAATATAGAATGGTAAATATTTTTCTCATGTGAGATGAAATAAAAATTAAAAAAACTACAAACCTATCCAGAGCAGCTGATCCAAGGCGCTGCTTGATATTGTCACTGGTAAGTAACAGAGTGGGCCCTGAGGGGAAAAAAATAAGAACATATAAAATAATACATAGACCTTAGCATATACGTTTCTCATTCAGTTATGGAGGACCTAGAATATATACGGACAATGCATTAACCTGCCTCCTCCAGAAGCGAAGCAAAATCTTGGTTCAGGCATCATCCAGGGCCAGCATCTACTTCCTAGTGGTGGATGGCTGTTCCGGGATAACGCACAAACCATGTAAATCCTGGTGCCTATGCAGTTCTTGGCTGTGTTCACAAATGTTTCTCACAGATCAGCCATCAGCTGCAGCCTCTCACATTATTTGCTACATAGGTACAATGTACAATTTTAGGCCTCGTTCACACCAGAGACCGTGCGTTCTGGCCCAATTCTGGCCAGAACGCACTGCATCACATTGCGGCTGGCTCACTATGTTGTGGGGTAGGAGTGCTGCAAGCACTATTTTGTTCGGACCGGACCACAGGCATAATGTGCCTTGCGTTCTTGCGCTGCCAATCGCATTGCGGCCGGAGGGCGTTGCTATGGCGCCATTCACGTCAATGGACCGCCATGCCCCCTCCTGCCCAACAACATAGTGAGCTGGCCGCAATGCGATGCAGTGCGTTCTGGCCCGAATCGGGCCGGAATGCACGGTGTCTGGTGTGAACAAGGCCTTCGTGATCTCTGGGGAATAAAAGTCTAAGGAAATACTCCCTGCTATCTGCAGGCAAAGACTAAAACTCAAGGACTGCTATAAGTTTGAGCCTTTTAAGCATGTTTTACCATTGCTATATGTTGTCAGGGATTCATAGCCCCCAACTGTCTCTCCTTTGGACTCAAAATCTTCCATCTGACCACTAAATTACTAGATTCGTTATCATCAAATGCTAGTAAAACAGAACTGAAGTAGCAAATAAAAATCACCAGTAGATTAAAACAATCTTTTTTTCTTTTTCCCTGCATTTTTATGATCTGAGAACAGGCATGTGACAGAGGTGTGCCCTTTTCAGTCATATTTTGTGCTAAAAGATGTCACTCTTTCCTGTCTCAGAGAGTTGGGAGGTATGGGGTTGTATTCAGAAAAGATTTGTAAGGTTACTGAAAGGTCCACTTTAATGAGCAGTGCACAACATGCAATAGCCGTTGGCAACCATACAGAAACCTTCCATTAGTCTATCTGTACTAAACAGCTTGAAGCTAAATAGTTGTAAATACCCGAGCATCACTGATATTTGTGCAACATTATTAAAACAATTGCAAAAAAACAAACACCTGCCTATTAGTAATTTTTGAGGAAAAAGCAGCAAAAAGTACACACAATAATTGTCAAACTGAATTATGATACACAAGTTAACTAAAATGACCTTTTTGTTAACAAGGCAATGCGACAGAGATGCACTGCTTTATGTAAAGAAAAACGTGGTAACCCGCAGACCCCAAATTTTCATGAGAACACAAGAGAAACATGTAATCTGCCATGAATGACTTCTGCCTGGCTGTCATGCTGATCCATTTGGCTTTGATACAGAGTCACTAACCCAGAATAGATATATAGATAAAGGACTTCTTGGCTTGCTCTGACATTCCTGGTCTGCATACTTGCTCTGTGCCAGCAACTGAAAGTATTAAAGCCCGAGGATTGGTATAAAGCTAAGCAAATAGCATTTTTAAATATAGGTAATATAGGGAAGTATAGGTTAAATATAGGTAATCAATGTCAGCCCCCTATTTGCCTTAATAGGTATCTATAGTCAAAAACTAAAGATAAATATGTATTTTTATATTCAATTTCCATAAGTTCTATCTCACTTCTCATAACCATATAGATCTAGACGTTTGTAAACTTACTTGCCCATAGGATGTACTTCCTCAACGCTCTGACAGACTTTCTCTCAGTCTTGAATTTGCACTTCCTTCTGTCATACCTCTCACAGAGCCTGCCTTCTGAACGACAATTCAACATCTGAACAACGCAACATTATTATTGCTTGCTGGAAGCAATGCATGATGGGATATGTTGTCTGGAGAAATTGAAATTGCATCACATCAAGCAGCGGGGAAAGAGACACAAAGCTGACTTGGAATTGAGGAAGTTATTGAAAGTGATGGGTAGACAGAAGGCAGCACTCACTACATGAAAGGGATTTTTTCAAGTAAGCTTTAATTGCATTATCAAAAACAACTCTAGTATGTATTCCTATTACAGTGCTGATGTTATAATAGGATGGCATGCTCTTGGACTTTACAACTAATCTTTTTATCTAAAAAAAATTAGTTGAAATCTAAACATGCCTCTAGACATAGACATGAACCGTCCTTTCTTAAACAATACTATCTGCTGGTTGCGGCATTAACAGGTACACTTGAACCATGGTCCACGACACATATTTATGCCTATGATGAGGGTCAAAGGGATAATGTGCTCATGCTCAAATTATTCTGCACACATTTTGCAGTAGCCGGATCTTCCCACTGTCATCCCATGTCTATAGCAAGGCTGAGGTGCTCTTCTTAGAAGATATTTTGCCTTTCCCCATTTATAAACAATCACAATAAGACACACGACATTGTGGATTCATCCGGACAACAATAGTAAGTCAGCCTGGTGTTTAAATGCACCACTGCAGTTGATCTTCTCAGAGTGGCAGGTCTAATGTGCATCTGCAATATTGCAGACACTAGAAGGGGCAGTGGATATTGTGTATCCGCCTGTGTAATCTTCTGGTGCACACCAGCCTCTCTGATCAGCTTAACTCCACATACATGAAAATTATAATTGCAGTAAATGGACCTTTTAGTCCCTGGTAAAGATTATCCTTGACCTACATTTCACCTACAAGCCCATATCCTGGAAATAACTTTTTATTCCTGCCTCAAGAACAGAGGCCCAGTAACCTCTCTTCATACGGCAAGACAACGGGAACAAGAAAAAATAAGAGGAGCGTAAAGATGGCCATTCCCAATCTGTCATATTTAATAAAGGTCTATAAAGGCCATAAAGTATCCTTAAAGTGGACCAGTAAGCAACCAGCTAAACGGACAGCTGGAATACTATATGAATGAATACTAAAGTATGAACGGTCTTCTCGACTAAGAGTGTTTGCAATTCTCTTCAGCCACTTATCCCATCTATATATTATTGTCACACAGGACAGAGAGGATTTGACCTTACTGACCTTACTGACCTTACTTTCTCTGCTGCAGAAAAGCAATACAGCTTGGTCAAGGACCTCAGGAAACCTGTTATGAGAAAAATACAGAAGATGCCATTGTTGACCTCTTTCTGAATATGCTACCTTCATGGCTGTAATAGAGTTCAAGTAAAAGTTTTTTTTTTTTTGATGCAGCCGAAAATTGTGCCATAATTTAGTATAAAATAAAGTAATTAAAAACAAAAAGCATAAATGTCACTCTTGACTGTTTAGGTGCAGCCGTGATTTGGATAAAAGGATAAATCTAGCACTGTACATGTTGTACTACTTACACAACATAATGCACATATTTGCACCATCTCAGGGCAAACAAAAAAAAAGTACCTTTGCAGTGCAGGGTAGCCCCAGTGCAAGGGTACTTTTTTTTTCTTTTCCCCCCGTTCCCCTGGAGGTCAGTACTGTCCTCTCCTCCCCCAGCAGTTAGTAAAATGTTCCTCGGTGTCCATCACATCTAAAGTAGGGTATAAATGGTTAGAATTTCGTACCAACGAGGTCGATTTTGGAACGTTTGTTCAAATATCTATGAATTAATGTGATGTAACCAACAGACGAAAACTACCATAGTAAAGAGAATTTCTGAAGGCGCATGTTAGAAAATGTTTCATGAAGGAAAACAAAATTCTAAACCTGTATTTCAGAATTCGATCGTTCTTGATTGAAAATATTCAGTGAGGTAGTAATGCGCTTGTGCAAAAAAATAATGATCTGATATCACTCTTAAACAATCGGTTTTGAATGAAAAATATCTTTTAAATAGTGTTGGTTTCATTTGCTATGACAAACGAAGATCCGTAGAATGTTCGTACAAAATTCTAACCATGTACACTCTACTTAATCTAGGTTCAACAGACCTGACTATAGACAGAGAGGATTTCAGCGGTCATTAGACCGCCAGAGGCCAGGGGACCGCTCTAGCAGCCCTGAGGGAGCCGGCGGGAATGAGGATCAGGTAAGTAAATCTGCTTTACCTCAGCCCTCTAGACAAAACACTTAAAGTGACACTAAACTCAGGAGTTAAATCTTAAGGTACTTCAATGCACTTTTTAAACTATTAACAAAACTGTCTTATTTGTGCAACACTCGGCTATAGACAGGGGCCGGCCTTAGGGGTGTGCGAGCAGTGCGGCCGCACAGGGCGCCATGGCAACAAGGGCGCCGTGCGGCCGACACAGCTCGTCCTGGGGGCGGCTTCACTCTCCAGCTTCAGATGCTGGAGAGAAGCTGATGAAGCAGATCTGTGCTTCCTCAGCTTCTTCAGGGGGGTCCTAGGTGACATTAGGGGTCTTGGAGACCCCTGATGTCTCCATAAAGAGGACCTGTCACATATTTTGCTATCACATAAGGGGGTTTTCTAACCCCCCTATGTGATAGCAATAAAGTTTCCCCCCCAAAAATGTAAAGTTACAAATAAAAAAGAATTACATTTTTTTTTAAAGTCCCCCCCATACATACACGCATGCAAACAGGCGTCGGGTGCGCATACATGTGAAAACGACGATTTCGCCCATTACGCCACACATGTTACATATCGCCGCGAACGTCGGAATGAGAGCAATAATTGTAGGGCTATCAATCACTGATAACACTAAACTGATGAGCGGTAAAAGCTTTTAAAGCGTCACCTATGATCAATTTTGGGCATGGTAATTTTTTGCGATTTTGCGGGTGCACGCAATTTTAAAGCATGACATGTTTGGTGTCTATTTACCCGACGTGACCCCGTCTTTTTATATTTTACCAAAAATATGGGTGATAAATGGGTGTGGTTACTGGGGGTGTGGCCACTAAAGGGTGTGGCCACTGAGGGGTGTGGTC